TTTTAAACAGCTATGTTAAACTGTAAAATAAAAAGTTTCAAAAATTCAGAACATTTTTCATCAGATAAAAACTTTAACTTAAGAAACAAAACTAATCCAATAAATAAATAATTATAATAACTGAATTAATCATAATACATAATGAGTTATTTTAGTAATTTAAACGATAACTATAATTTTATAGTTCATTTTTAATTTGTACTGATATAATTATTCAATTTTAAGTGGCATCTTAAAATACATGTAAAATAATACTGTACTAAAAATTATAATTTATAATACATAAATAGAACCCAACCATTGGGAAAAATAAACTCTTCAACTAAACTTAAATTAATTAATATCATTAGCTAATATATTTTACTAGAATATTCCACAAAATGTATTGAATTATTTTAAGATACGCTTTTAAAATGTCAAGTCTTAATTAAAGTACAAATTTGATTTTGTTGAAAATAATTTTGATAAAATGTAATTAATATAGTATTATTAAATTAATCATTCTACTTATGCAGTTAAGCATTATTATGATGACATAAACTCATGATATGTGTAAACAACTTTAATATAAAAAATTATTAACACAAAGAAAATGTTAAAATATTAATTAAAAAACTTATGAACATATAAAAGATAAATTACCAATAATTTCGTTAATAATTGATGTAACGAGTAAATTGATGCCATATTAAATGCATGGTTACAAGAACTTGTGCTTTGATGAAGAATTTGAAAAAAATCCCTTAGAATTTAATGACACTATAGAATATGGAGCCAACCAATTTCTACATCTAATGACTTAACTATAGGAAACAATATAAAATTTTATAATTATACATTTGTATCATTGATAATTTTTTCGCACACAAGTCACAACAAAAGGAGATTGTACAATATCATTACTCAACACTAAACTTATTAGTAGAAATGGTACCATTGACGATCTGAAATATCACGATAAGAAAGGAGGGGGTATTGTAAAAATAAATTTATTGTTTCGGATACTAAGTTAAAATCGACTGCGCGTAATACAACATACACAAAAAAAAACTTAATATCTTAAAAATAAATATGACACCTTAACCTACAGTTTTTCAAAAATTTGTTAAGTATTCTAGTTTTTAATGAAATTCTGATTTTCTTTTAAGCCGTAAATTCACTCCTAACAGATACTTTCTTGAAAAAAATAAAACAGCTGAGTTAAAACCTGATTGTCATATGTTTTTATCATTTCATGTTTATGTTATCATCTATTATTATCACTTTTAACCATAGAGTAATATATTACTCTAAGATTTTTGCTATGATCATAGATAAACAACAATTATCGTGCATTTATCAGGTAGAATGTTGACATTATTCAATATTTAATAATTATTATAATTTTGTGTCAACCTTTAAAAAAAATATTTTCATTAGTCAAAAAAATAATGAACAACATAAAAATACCCATATTTCTATTGAAATAAGTGAATACTTGAATGATTTATAATTAATTATAATTTTATCTTGTGTAATTCATATTGTAATTATTTTAGTAATATTAATAATGTTAAGCAACTACGAAATACACGTTCTATATTTATTTTATAATGAAATTTTTGGATGTATTTGCACTATGAATAGTTGTGAACATTTTTTAAAATAAATTATAACACTGTTTTATAATATTGAATTTTTGTAAGCTTTGATTTTCATTTTATACGGTTGTCAATGTGTTTATATTTTATTTATAATTAGTGATATGTATGTAATAACTTTTTATGTATTGTAAAAATTTACTCAAAGTTAAGAGATTAAAAACGGAACGCAAAATTGTTTATATTGCGCATTACGTTTATTTATAATTCTATATTTAAATCATAATTTACTTCCATTAAAAAATAATACTATTTTAGCCTTTGCTTGCCAGATAAAGTTGATTTCTGGCGTTAAAATATATTTAACTCATTGTCAGTGTCGCATTTAATATTATAATCTCAAAAATAAATATGTGCTTTTTTTTAATATAATAATAACATGTATGTACAGGTTGGGTTTAGGTTGAGTATAGGTGTTCTTTTTCTTCTTCTTCCTCGCCTTAATTCCAACTACTTGGGGTCGGCCACCCTTATCCCAAACTTCCACTTGACACGATCTCCCACATCATCTACGCTCACATCAGCTGTCCTCATATCGCATTCAATAGCATCCCTCCATCTCTTTTTTGGTCTTCCTCTACCTCTCCTTCTTTCATTTCCATATCTGTTCTTACAGCTTCCGATTCTTCTCTCCTCATAACATGACCAAACCATCTAAGTCTATTTTCTCTCATCTTATCCACGATTGACGCTACACCTATACTCCCTCTCATATGCTCGTACCTTATTCTATCTTTTTTAGTCACTCCACTCATCCATCTAAGCATTCTCATCTCTACTATACTCATTCTCTGCTCTACTTTCTTATCAACCGCCCAACACTCTGGACCATACATCATAGATGGCCTTATTACAGTCTTATAGAATTTACCTTTCAAGTATAGGTGAAAAATATAAATAATTTCCAAGGAGGCTAAAATTAATTTTTTCTCTTCTTAAAAATATTGTTACAAAAAATATATATGATTTTTTAAATTTTATGTGGATTAATTTCCAGGCTAAGGCCAAGCATCCAAGTACCCAACCTTACCTTACCTGTTTTTAGGTATCCGGTAACTATAGTTATAACTCAGCTATATTTACAAAAGTTTCAATATTGTATTTTCTAAATTATTTTTATTTTGATATCTTATTATCACAGCTGTCCTTAAGTAAGAAGCCATAGAGCCTCGCACTTGTTACAAATTGTGATAACACAGATGTTATTACAATTATTTTTGCTCAGGTCCTCACAAATTACAAGAATGTTATTACTCATTTTTATTGAATAAATGATAAAAATTGTATAATATTCAAGATATTGTGAAAAATTGCAAGATTCAAAATCATAGACTATTAATATGCTATGGTAGAGACAGGAAAAAAAATCACTGTTATGTGTAATAGAAGACTTAAAATAAAAATTTTTGCATGAAAAGTGAACTTTTTCAATTTAAATTAAAAAAATTTTTCTAATATACGAAATACAAATTACTTTCATGTAAAATAAAAAGTCTATGTACATGTCATTTTCGTTTTTAAGTATAGTTAACTTTAAATTCATCTGTGTATTATAGAAGAATATTATAAGTTTATTGATAGTAATACTTACACTTTACTTAAATACATTTGGCTCAGCCAAAAACTGAAGGGTTTGTAGCCCCCATTAAAATTCATGAGACGACCGAATTATTTATTCGAATTTGTAATTTTAAGTGGATATTGAGTAGAAAAATAATCATAAATATTTTTTAATGCAAAATATTAAAATCTGTTTACGTCATTATTTTACTTATGTTATATTCATTATTTATACATTTCTAATGTCTGATTATAAACATTAATATCGTCTTCACTTTTAAGATAATCCTATTTTAGCCTAATATATTAAACTTAACTGTTGCGAGAACTCAAAGATAACTTACTATATGAGATCTCATTGAAAATAACGTGCTATTTAACAATTTTTACATTTGTTGCACTGTAAGAAATATTCCAAAAATTCTCATGTGTCAGTATGATATTTTTAAAATATAAAGAAGTATTGTAAGTTTGACATAATTTATAAAAAATTCGTACACAAATATAAGATTTTTATCACTATTTATCGAAAATCTCTCTTACATTGTATGCGTTAAAAACTTTCAGTGCATGTATGATATTATTCAGAATTTTTTTTTAGATTATGTCTTCTTCTTTTCCTCGACTTTATCCCAACTACTTGGGGTCGGCCACCTTTATCCTTAACGATCATTTGACACAATCTCCCATATCATCGATGCACACATCAGCCGTCCTTATATCACATTCAATAAGATCCCTTCATATCTTTTTGGTCTACCTATACTTTTTCTTCTTTCTTTTCCATATCTGTTCTCGCAACTTCCGATTCCATTATCCTCATAACATGACTAAACCATCTTAGTCCATTTTCTCTCATCTTTTCCATGATTGACGCTACACCTCTACTCACATTGTTTTATTAAAGTATATATCAAAATAAAATAGTACAAATGTCATAACTTATTGAAAATTGTCCCTTGTCGACACAATTATTATGAGTGACAGGATTATTCTGAGACTTTTCTGATTTTTTAAATATATCGAGATTTTCGGTAATAAAAGTGAAATTCGAAAAATTGTTCATAACATGTTATCATGTTATCATGTTCAGATTTCAATTGTTGACATAGAGATTTTGGCATTCATTTATTTATACTGTACTTGTTTGATAAAAAAAAACGATTTTGATAATAAAAAGGTTTTTATTTCGAGTGCAGTTAAGTAACTAATTATTAATAGTTAATAAATGACATTTACGAGGAAATTACAATAATCGCATGCCGCCGAGTGCTTAATGAACACATAGTAATTTTACAATAAATACCGTATATGAGGTACCACTGATGGGAGTATAAAGGTATCGTAGCCACAACTGGACATCTGCGTATGGTTTTAGATGTGTACTGAGCATCTACCGGTAGTCTGCGTTGTGCGCTCACTGTATGCGTTGTGTGTACGACTATTGCGGTTAGTGCGTACTCTTGTGTGTGCTAGTGCGATTTTCATAATTTTCTGTGCTTTGGATATTTTTTGTGTAATTAAAAATTACGTTGTGTATGAGTGCGCGAGTTTAAGTTTTTTAATTAAACGCTTAAGTTTTGCTGTTGCCAGGAGTGACGCGCAGAAACCCCCTAAGATGGGGTCCTGCAAATATTTCATTCTTTTAGCTTTGGCTCTCACATCTTCATCGAAGGGTAAATAATTTTCTTACTTGTTAAATCCTATTATTTATTATCAACAATTATTAAAAATAAGATTGAGTATTATGCACGTAAATTACGGCTGTACTTTTTTACTGAATCCAATATAACAATTTTTTACTATTAAACTTGTACTAATTACATTTATTTACTTATTGTTACCCTGTTTTTTACTTTGAAAATTATGATAGAATTTTTTTATTTTATCAATTTCGATTTGAATTCTATATTATTTTATTAGTGGATGAAGAATAGTTTTATTAAAACTATTTTGTTATATTGTTAAATTTAGAAGATGATTTTGAAAACGTATTGCTGTTGGTTTGCAATGTAACTGTAGGTGATATTAAAAACTGATTCTCTTGAAAACATTAACTTATTTCTATTACGTCATAGATCGTATTCAAAATAGTAAACGCTGTACTTTTGACCGACAGGAAGTTTCAGTTTTTACATGCATATAGTATACACTAGTATAATGAATGGGGTGAGCGTGTGAGTCATGAACCTCATCGACCGAATGGGGGCGTTCTGTTCTGATGCACATCATACGGAAGATATCTGAGAATTCCTGTACACCCTTGAATAAAATTAAATATAGACACAAATCCCTTTAAAATATCACTAGAAAATAGTATCATGTCTATTAATGTTTGTGTTGCATTAATTGTATAAAAATAATTTATAATGAATAAAAACTATTTGTTAGTGCTTATTTAATTATTTGTTTCTAAATATATAATCAAGAAAAAATTATTGACTAATAAAGAAAACAAATTAATCCATCTTGGTGTTTATTTTGAATATTATGTAGAATAATTTGATTTTCTGACAGCCTTAACGTTTATTTTTGTGTGTATACTTATTTTATTTGCCAGATATTTTTAATAATTAAATTTTCTTTTTCAAAGTAGTCAATTTGAATTAATGTCTATCAACACATAGATATCATATTTATAAAAATAAAATATTAATTAGAATATGAATATGAATATAAAATTAAGGTCACGAATAAAGTTTAATATGTTTAAATTTTCTTACTAAATTTTAATATTTTAATTTCGTAAATAATAATTTAATTTATAGTTTTTTTGAAAAAGAAATTAATTTATCAAGTTCAGATGTTATAAAAATATAAGCTCTTGAAGAATATATTCTAATAACCCATTACATTTGATTTTGAAAGATTTTTTCTTTTAATTTGGTTAAGTTGATAATCATTGACTTAAATATTGATAACGAATTGTCATTTAATTAAAAATTTTATGGAAATATGTTTATACAGTAAAATTTATATGTTACGCTAAAATAACAAGGCATTTTATAGATGTCATTATTTATTATATTATTTTAAACAAGAATAAATTCTAAATACTTTGAAATGTTTAATGCATTTATAATAATTCAAAATAGTAAATTAAATCATATTTATTACAGTTAATTTCAATTCAAATTATTTTTATCTTAATCTATGTATTAAATGAAAAATACATTTTGTTAAAATATTTTTTATTAAATGTAAAATTTATACATTTTTTACATAGAAGGTTCTANAAATGTAAAATTTATACATTTTTACATAGAAGGTTCTAACTAAAAAGTAAAATCATATGCTAATTTCATTAATGTTTGTTATTGGAATTAAAATAGTGTACATCTTGAATTCCGCTGTAAGAGCAACCCTGTCTGGTCTGTGATCACGAGGCAGTAGTTCACTGGTCCCCACGTTCCCATGACAACTGCTGCTTGTATCCTGTTGCCGTCCAAAACAAAATCCTTAAAAAACGTCACCTATTTAGACATTCCAATATTTTCATAACGTCACGTGCGTTTGAATTTTCGTTTGTAGTACATTAAAGCATTACGGTTAGTTAACGTTTAATACAATAANCTTACGGTTAGTTAACGTTTAATATAATAAAACATGTTAAGTTCTTTGATAAGGATTCCTACATTGAATTATTATTTATTAAACGTAATGTATTCTAGCGTATTCTTTCAGGTGTATATATTAATGTCTGCGTTTTCCAGCACAAATTTTAATGAATTTATTATTTATAAAATACAGGATGGAATAGATCTAACTATAGGTGGATAAATATGGCGGTGTTATAAATTGCCACTAGTACGAGTTGTTCCATATGCGTTATATATCCTCTTTATGTATTAAAATTTTTGTAATTCAATAATTACTCATTCCAAAATTGTGATAAACTTATTAATCATTTTTGTAAGAAAATTGCTTAACACTAGTTATTTTAATAATTTTGAAACATATAAATATATAGATGGAATACACAACCTTTATAACTTATGATCTATATAACATTTTATATATTTTTTTAAATTACACTATAGTTCTATATTTAAAATTGTTTTATATGATATTTTTAACAATTACAAAAAATAATTTTTTTATTATAATTTTTTTCAAGATTTAAAAANGTTGACTTATAACTTAGCGATCAAAACATTTATAGAAGTTTTTCTTAGTAGCATTAACACAGATAGTAATTTCGCTAAAGTTCCAAAGATCAAAACATTTTTTTAATGTAACTATTATACGATGATGTAATATGAATTATATTCATATATTTTTTTCTTATCTCTATAGTATTTTAACTATAGTTGTAGATACCAAAACATATTACTGTGTTTAGTGGCATAGCCAATGGAAATTAAAAGGGCTGTAGCCCTTTCGATGGTCAATTATTATTATTAACAGTATATCATTTTAGCATTAGTAATAGTGTGTGTTAAACTAGAAAAAATCTTTAGACCCCGAGCAAAAATCCTGGCTACGTCTCTGACTATGATTAAAGTAAAATATACTTATATTGCACACTCGCAGCATTAAAATATAATATTTAAAAAAAACAGTACTTATTTATTCAATAATATTAGAAATTATTTTAATAATTATTTTCCTTACAAAATTTTAAAAGAATGGTGATATATGCTCGGAGGTGTTAATGTTATCCTTGGAAGTGCTTAGTAGTCAAAGCACCTCTGTAATTGCATCTATGCTTAGTAGATTGATAAAAATAATTTGCTCAACATCTAGACTTAAATATAGATAATGTAATAAGTTATATTCAAAAATAGTTTACGAAATGTTGACTGTAACATATTACACCGTTTTTCTATATTTGGTGCATCTCCTTCTGTATTAAGTGTGCATAGTTTATTTTATGTACACATGTTTTATGGATTGATTTCTTTCGTCACTTCAAAAGCTATAATAAATTATTTACACAACACTAGTTCAAATAATAGTTTGTATCCAAATAATCATTAATAGAGTAGTGGTCTATGTTGTCTTAGTAAACAAAAGTTTAATACATTTAAATTAAATTTTTTTATTTATTTACACAAGTTAAAAATTGTATTATATATACTTCTATTGGTATTCTTTTAAACTGAATATGAAGACTGATAAATAAAAATTGCGGCAGTCTGTTTGCTCTTATAATATGCCTAAACTGGGCTTTATAACAGTAAAAATATTATTAATTATTATGATGTTGGGTTTCGTAGTAGTCTCACTTATAAAGTCATTATTCAGCCATATCTTAGATTATTAATTTTACTTATTAAGCCTCTATTCATAGATTGTAAATAAAGCCTAAAATGATATAATTGGAATATTTTTTTTTATAATTGTTACTACTTTTAGAGTATTATCTGAAGAATCTGAATTTTTTTTAAGTTTTAGCGTTGTCACATATGTGACAACCCTAAAATTTTTAAATCCTTTTAACTATATAGTCCAAAAGATTTCAATTTTTTAATGGTGCGTAAAATATTATCTCTTATTGCTTTGCAAGATAAATTTTGTTTACTTAAATTAAAATGTTTAAGCATTTGTTATTAAAATTAATAAATAAATTCAAAAATGTTTTCACTGAGTAGTATGTGTTGGATTATACAAAATTAGGTTAAAATATACTGTCACGAAAGCGTTAAATATTGATATTTTAACATTTTATTCCTCTAAGTTTAAGCATTTAACGTTACGCACGCATGAGATATGACTATCATGTACATAAATACTGAAAAACGTTGTTGTTTTAAGTTCAGTGGCACAACTCGTTTATAGTGCGTATATAAATGTATACACCCTACGCAAGCGCGATTTGTTGGGAAATGTTGTATTTACTAGACTGGGAGAATTTTGCCCGCGAAACAGCATCCGCCCATAACAACATATCGATCACGTTCGAACTTTAGAAGGCGCGCGTCACAACACAAGTGAAATTGTCTGTACTTTCGTTATATCTTTTATTCATAATGAATTACATAACTATTGAAGTGTATTAAAACTGCTTATTTGATACTAGTGCCTTGTTTAACTATTGTCGATGTTATGATATTATTAAATTTGTAATTACTGAATAACACGTGAGAACTTATCTCATTAAAATCCTAATACAAACGAATGTCTGAAAAAAATTTCCTTTATCAATTCAAAAGCTTGGAATACCATATCTATTTACAATATATTATTCAGGGTTGTTATTTATGATTAAATAATTTTTTTCTGAAGTTTCTTGATGTTCGTAGTCCATGTGAGGTCACAAACTTGATGTTTCAGTTTTAAATTTCGTTATGCTCGACCGCGTTTCGTGTAATCACCCGGTTTATTGTTCTTCAAACTACATAAACCACTCTAAAGATGTCTCCACTCTTAGTACTTATTTAAATAATAACAATTATTATAATATGGGCTGTCTGGTCGACCACGTTCATTTTGTTTTTAAAAATCGACATTATAACAATAGGTATCTAGAGACTTGAAAGAGTCAACCAACAATAATTTTTTTTACTAACTTATTAAGAGTGAAGTAATGTTTACTACTATTTATAGTTATCGATATTCGTCATACATAAGACTAAGCCATGGATCACCGATAATGTTTAACATTCCTACGAGAGATATGCCCCGCACTTCTAATATTACGTGACTCTCGTCACTGAGTTCTGTAGGAGATTTTTACGAAACTGAGAAGAACACACAAAAACCATGTAAAATATGTTTGAGAATTATGTATATTTTTGTTTGATCCTTAAAATTATTAAGGTAGAGATTTGATTTTATTATTACCCTAAATAATTGGCATATTAAAAAAATAAATTATTAAAACTTCGTAAATAATTTTTATTTTTATTATATTTCACGTGAATGGATATTTATTATAGCCATACATTTATATATGTATATAAATTAATATAATTTATGTATATTGTTTATATTGATGTGTATAATTTCTTAATTTTCCATCTAAAAAATGATTGATATTAATGTATTATAATAATTGTTATTACTGTGGTAAAATTATTGCTCCTCATATAATTTTCTAACCATTTTTAATTACTCTTAATGCGTCTATTTAGTGTGATTATTTACAGAATAAATCATTAAAATTTTAATATTATTATATTAAAATAATATTGTTGAGATTTAGGGGCAATTTCAATAAAATTTTTGGAGGAGTTAATGTATATAATTTTTTTCTCTCTAAATTAATTTTTTATACATGTAATTTTTCTGAAAATTTGAAGGGGCTTATTTTATTATTAGATTGGCTAAGCCACTCCGTGTTCATTAATTTACGCCTATAATGACGATATTTTCTTATTAATTTCATAAGTTATAATGTATTGGTTGATTAAAAAATAATATTAGGCGAATCCAGCTAAATATGTCAAAACTATATTATATTGTGACTAATCAATATAAGTAAGTTTTTATATTGTA